GTAAGCGACGAGTTTCCTACGCTCCTCCACGTGGCTGGGTACGTGAGACGTGGTTTCTGTGCCGCTGGAGCGTCTGACGGACACACACCGGGCCTGAGCACTTCCTCAGCATCCAGGCCCGCGAGGAGGTGCGCTGAGGTCGCCATGGAACGTAGCTGGGTGACAACATGGTCCAAGGACCCCACTCCAAGGCTGCAGCCGGGAAGCTCACTCCCAGGGCTCGGGAGGATGGGTGGACGTGGGAGCGGGTGCTCTGGTGACGGCCTTTTGGGGACGAGGCAGGCGTTGGCTCCTCTGGACCGCCCGATGGTCAGGCGTCATGCAGACGGGCTCCCGGTCACTTTTCCATCTTCCACGCAGGCACAGAGCCTGGGTCTCAGCGGGGTCCCCATCCCCGAGCCTGGGCACATCCGTCCCAGGGCTACTGCCACCAGGATACCCGACTCCTCTCTGTGCCGTGGGCCGGGCTCCGCCAGGGGAGACTCCCAAACCCCCAGCCCCACTGGCTGAGCCCATTCTCGTACCTGAGAAGGTTTCCCTCACCTGCCTTTGTAGGAAAGGTTTTTCTGACAGTCACACGCCAAGTCACTGACGTACGGCACCTGCGTGTGGAACACGTCACTGACTGAAATGACATAGAGGACTGCTCCCACTCGACACCGTCCCAGAGGCTGCTGGACCGAGACAGAGCAGGGAGCGGGGAGCCGGTGGAGGGAGGAGCGCCACAGTGCCGCCTCCGCGGGAGCACACACATGCTGGGGAGCGAGGGCAGGGGGAGGCCGGCAGGGCTCTCCCAGGAGGGAGGGAGGAGCACCAGGCAGCGAGGCAGGAGGCAGCACAGGTACGAGAAGGGGATGTGGGCACCAGGAGGGCAGAGGGGCCACGGTCCCAGCCGACGGAAGGACGGCTGAACGCAGGCGACGCTGCTGCGTCGAGTTGCTCTTCTGTTTCCAGCTGTCCCAGGCAGGACTCCACGGTGCTGGGCAGTCGGCCAGAGCACAGAGCGGCCGCTGCTGGCTTCTCCGCCTGGGTGTTCCACGGCCCCAGCACCACTGGTCTGGTCCCCGGGAGCGTGAGCTCCATGTCACCTGATGCCCCAGCATGTGGTGCCCGGAAGGGACACTGGGAGGAAAGCGGGGAGCAGGCAAAGGGGTACCTCCCGGGTGCCGGGTCATGTGGGGTGCAGGCCCTGGCCCCCTCCGAGGGGCATCGCTCCCCACTCCCTGGGTCTCCTTTCGGGCAGCTCCTGCCAGGAGGAACGATGGTAGGACACACCCTCTCCCTCCTCCCCGAGGGGGTGCTCGGGTTTTATTTATGACGTGACGGGAGCACAGCCTGCCTTGAAACTTGCTCATGATAAGAATTGGGAACATCCTGGTCCTTTCGGGCTCCTAGAAAAACGTGACGGGGGTGTTAAAGCGGAACCGTCCGCCGGGATGCCAGAGGCACCTGACGTCTCACTGTGGACAGCGCTGCACGCTCTCCCCTCAGCGAGAGGGCGTCTCGGGTCCCTGCTGCGAGAGTAACCAAGTGACAGCAGTGTCCTGGCACAGCACAGACCCCGAGTCCCTCCCCCACTAGGCACCACACCCAGCTCTTCTCCCAGCCCCTGGGGGACGCAGAAGGCCAGGGCCTCTCGGTCAGCCAGGCAGGGGCCTGGACCTGGGGAGCTGCGACTGGCCCTGCCTCCAGGGCGTCTGTCCTCCCCACACTCCTTCCTCCTCCCAACTGCGCCCTGGATGGTCCGGCCTGGTCTTCCCATCTCCAAACGCTGGGCCCCAGCAATGCCACCCAATCCCCAGCCTCAAATCCCTCTCAGTGCATGGCCCCGGTTCTGCCCTCGGGCCCCCTGCCTCTCTTGCCTGTCGGGAGGGCCGCGGAGCCCCCACTTTCCAGCCATGAGCCAAGCCTCAGCTCCTTCCACCACCAGCGCTGACCCAGCTCTGAGACCTCCCTCATCCACAGCTCCAAACAGGCCACAAGCGCCCAGGGGGTGCCGGGCACACATCCAGGGTCCAGGCAGAGAGCAGAGTCATCACAGCCGCTGCTCTTGGAGAACGTGACTTTGGGAGGAAGACGATAAACAAAAACAAACACCAGGCGCACCGCAGGTGGTCACTGTGGGGGCTCTTGGCACTTCTGGGGCTGGAACATGCGTGCTTGCTCCCACCGTCCTGTCTGGCTCACACTGGACGGCACCAACACTCTGAGCTGGTGCCCTCAGCCCACGCGGTGACCGACACTTCAAACACGTTCCCGTGACAAAGCTGGGACCTGGGCCCCAGCCCTTAAACCAGGGCATGCGGGACTGGCAGCGCCCCTGCAGGGACAGATCCCGGAGCCCACAAGCACACGGACAGGCAACGACCCTGCCAGGGACTCAGGGCCTGGGGAGGGGACGCCCGGGAGAGCAGCCAGCGGGAGACCCATCGTCCCTCCTGCTCTGCACACACCAGCTCCGTGAGCAACCTCGGCTTTCACCTCCTGCGGAAACACTGGGTCGTGCGATGGGCGACGGCGCCACCTCCTGGTAACGATGGGCACCTGCAAGTCACCGAAACTCCTCCAGGACACGTCCCCACTGCCAGGAGCCGGGAACCCCCACCGCACGCTCTTGCGCCAGGCGCGGCTTCGGGTCCAGCTGCTTTCTGGGAACAGGCCACTATTTCTGATCCCTATTAATACCTGTGACAGCATTTATGTACAAGATAAATTCATTTCAATTTCCTTTTTCAATTAATGGTCTATTATTTGAACCAGACTCAGCTAAAAATATCACTGTGACACCATCAATCTTGTAAAAATTGAATTTCCCTCCCCTGACAGCCCGAGGGCACCAGGCTGAGGCAGGAGGGGGCTGCCTGGCTGCCCAGGATCCCGGGGCCCCCAGCAGAAACCATGACACTGAGCAGCCCGCGGTGGCGGAGGGCACGGGCAGCTGGTCCAGTCTCAGCATGTGACAGCGATGGTGGCCACACCGTCCACGCCGGCTCTAGAGTGAGCTCCGGGCACATCTGGAGCCTCCTGACCCCTCCCCTGCCACACACCCCTGCCCCAGATCACCCAGGTGGCCCTGAAGGACCACGGCTGCGGGAGAAGCCAGGAGCTCCCACCACACCCCAGTCCTCCGTGAGCCGGTCTAAGACACCTCCTGTCCCTGGGCCGTCTCCTACGCTGTCCTCTGGCGAGCACCCAGCACGTGGGCAGCGGGAGAAACAGCCTCCGGGCCTCAGCCTGGTGTGGCCGCCTCTGGGCACCTCGTCTGCTGCCTCGCCCCAGTCTCAGGGGTTCCAGAGACTTTTCACTGTGTGTGACGAACAGAGCAACGCGCTGCTGTCACCGAGGATGTTAAGGCACCAACGGACAGCGAGCCCCCAAGGCAGGGCGGGGCCTTCAGCCCCTGCACTTGCTCCGCGAGCTGAGACGCAGCTCGTCCTCCTCCAGACGCCCTGCCGTGGAGTCTACAGCGACTACGGGTGATTCCGGCATCTCTCAAATTCTGAAGATTTTTGTTTTTCATGTATTAAAAAATTTAAAATATTTTCTAATCTCCTTTCTGCCCTACTCTTTGACTCATGGGTTATTTACATGTTGGTTAATTTCCAAATATTTGGGAATTTTCCATGTATCTTTTTTATTTACTTCTAATTTAATTCCTGTAGGTGACAGAACATACTCTGTATCATTTCAGTCTCTCACAGACGCTGAGGTTTGCTCTACGGCCCAGACTCCAGTGCGTCACGGTGAACGTTCCAGCAACTGCCCATGGCCAGGGAAGACCCCCAGAAACGGGAGGGGGCGATGCCTGCGGCTGTGCCCGGCAGCTGCGCAGCCCCCAGAACATGCACGCCGGTAAAGCCTTGGAAAGGCAGACTCGACCCTGGGCTGCCCTGGACCCGTCGGGAAAATGCTCAAAAGTCATCCTCGGAAGGTGGCCGCAGCCCTCGACCGCCAGAAACAGACTTCGCTGGAGCTCTTTCACCTGGAAGCTGCGAGGTGGCTCTGCAGAGACAGGCAAAGCTGACGGCCATCCTTCCCCTCCGGGCCTTTCCACAGTTGGTCTGTGTCCCTCCAGCCAGACCCTGACGCGAGGCTGGCTCTCCCTCGGCCTGGCGTGCCCTTGTCTGGACCGCACGCACTGCTGCGCCAGCTGGTGGGCCCACGAGCACCAGTGAGCTCGGGTTGGGGAACAGAGAACCTCCCGCAGGGCAGACCTACTTCTCCGCTTGGCCCTGTCAGCCTTCAAGTCACGCGTGTATGACCGTGATGTCCCCTTGAGGAACCGACCTCTCGGTCACTGCGAAACGACCCCCACATCCCTGGCAATACTTGGTGCTCTGAAGTCGGCTCTGATCTCAACACAGACCCTCCCACTTCCCTCTCACTGGCGTCTGCACGTCCACCGTCCTCCACCTTTACTCCAAAACAGCCAGGTCTGTATTTCCCAAGGAGGCTGGGAAGCGCTGAGGACGTCCCCACAAGGACAGGGCCACCTCTCGTGTCCAGCGAGCCAAAGCCCCGTGGAGCAGTGACAGGTCTGCCCCGCTCTGCGGAGGGCTCCACACACTCCCCGTGCCACCCAGGGGACAGCCCCTCCCCAAAGCAGACCGGCCCCAGCCTGTGCGGGGCCACGAGGCAGGCCCAGCACGTGCGCAGGTGGTGGCAGGCGACTCTCGGGGCAGACCCAGGTCGGGTCTAATCTCTTGTCTCTCTCCACGCCTCGCGCCTCCCTCCCTGGCCGGCCACTTCCCGACCCCCTCCCAGACTTGGGCTGTGCCAGCCAAGCAAGCGCAGCGCCGACAGGGCAGCCCGAGACAGCAGCCCTGCCAGGCCAGCGTGGACCCAGCCCAGGCGCAGCCGCAAGAATGTGGAACATCTTAACGCAGGCGCGATCGCGCTGCACCCTGACAGCGGGCTCACAGCACTGTCTTGCCGAAGGACAAGGGCCGGCTTCACGGCCTGGCAACTGTCCGATGGTCGCACCGCGGGACAGAACTTACCGTAAAATGCTCCTGGGACTTGTAGTTTTCATCCAGGTAGACTCGAGCTCTGTTATATTCTTTCATCGCGTCACTCGACAGTAGTTCTCTGCAAGGAAAAGAGTAAGCTCCTTGAGCAAAAGCGCGCGGACGCTGCCGTTTCACAGGTGTGCTTACGAGACCACTTTTCATGTCACCCCGAAACGACACCCACCAACTGTGGAACGGAGGGAGGAGGGGGAGCAGCAGCCACAGCAGAAACCGAGAGCCACCGCGTGTTCTCGGCACACGGGGCACAGGCCACCCTTCAGGCTCTGGTCTCCACGCAGCCCCAGGCAGCGCCGGACCCTGAAGCCTCCCGAGAATGGAGACCTGAGATGGGGCCCAGGTCACGCGCCGGAGCGACCGCACACTCTGGGCTCTCCTGGCTGCGCACGTTTCGTCCTAACAGAAATCATCCGCGCAGCCGTCAGCGCAGGGCGGGGGACACCCACAGTCGCACCCGGAGCCCAGGCAGCTCCGTCCCCGCCTGGTCCGCGCAGAGGCAAGGGTGAGCCCGTGACCGAGGTGCTCAGGCGTCAGGACCTCTGAAGGTCTGTCGCCAAGCGGGCCCCGCCCCTCACCGTCCACCCTACTGGTTGCATCTCACAGTCGGACGAGCTCAGCAGACGAGCTTCCGCCATCGCTGCAGGGCGCGGGGACAGGGAGCCGCCGCACCCCTGGAGGCCCCGCTCAGCCGCGAGACAGAGGGAAGAAAGTCCACAGCACTCGGTGCCCGGCCAGCCCACGTGCCGGGAAGGGGGTTCCAGATCTGAGAAGCAGAAGCGAATCAGGACAGGCAAGAGGAGAACCCTCCACAGACGCAAACTGGTCCCCACGTCACAGAGCGGGGGGCAGACACGCCCCGAACACTCAAAGGAGAAAAAAGTTCCATCACGAAACAGCACAACATCCGTGACACCTGGCATCGCATCAGCACCGCCCGGCACGCACAGGAGCAAAGGGCGACCACCGTCGCGTGGGAAAGCGGCGCGGAGGACAAGGACGGCAGAATTGGCTGAAAACACCATCCAACAGCTGCTGCAACGTGATCAAGATTTAAAGGTAACCTGGGCGCGGTGGCTCACGCCTGTAATCCTAGCACTCTGGGAGGCCGAGGCGGGCGGATCGTTTGAGCTCAGGAGTTCGAGACCAGCCTGAGCAAGAGCAAGACCCCGTCTCCACCAAAAATAGAAAGAAATTAATTGGACAGCTAAAAATACATAGAAAAAAATTAGCCGGGCATAGTGGCTTGTGCCTGTAGTCCCAGCTACTCGGGAGACTGAGGCAGGAGGATCGCTTGAGCCCAGGAGTTGGAGGTTGCTGTGAGCTAGGCTGATGCCACGGCACTCACTCTAGCCCGGGCAAAATAGTGAGACTCTGTCTCAAAAAAAAGATTTAAAGGTAATCGTGAACCTGCTCCAGAGAGGAGACACAAACCTACGAGTGAGACTCACAGAGCTGGAAAACACAGTCTCAGAAATAAAATGAACTCACTGGATGGACTTAAGAGCAGATTAAAACCTGCAAAAAAACCCAAAAAGCCAGTGACTTATAAAAGCAGCAGCAGAAACTCTCCTGACCGAGGCAGAGGGGCTGAGGGACGGTTTCCAGCAGTTTAACGTCAGGACATTGGGGTCTGAGAGCAAAAGAGAAGGAAAGGAAAAGAAACACAATATTCAAAGAAATCACGGACGACCTGTTTTCAGACTTTGGCTGAAACCATAACCCACAGCGGGAAAGGCCGAAAGGGCCGTGCGGGAGAACGTGAGGAGACGCGAACCGCAGCTGACGCCCCCGAGCTGCCGGAACCAGCCCTGAGACACGGCAGCGGTCGGGAAAAGGCACATCATATACCAGAAAATGAAGCAGAGAACAATGGCCAGATTCTCACCAGGAACAAGGCCACGCAGAGGACAATGGGACGAGAGCCTTAAAGTAGTGAGGGAAAAAAAATTGACAAGCTAGAATTCTATCTCAAACAAAAGTATCTTTGAAAACGAACACAAAGACCGTTTTTACACAAACAAAAGCAGAGAAAATTCATCCGCAGCTGACTTGTGCTAAAATAAATGTTAAAAAAGGTTGTTCGGGCTGAAGGAAAATGACACCAAATAAAAACCAGAATCTACACGGCAGAGTGAAAGTGCTGAAAATGGTAAATGAACCAGTGAAAATCTTTTTAAAAGATGACTGACTGAGGCAACGCGGCAATGGCGCGGCAGGTCCGACGCAGGCAGGAGCGAGCGCAGGAGGTGACAGCACAAGGACGGCCCGGGACGCGCCACCCAAGGTGCGCAGCCTGAGCACGGAGCGCGGCGCGGCGGGCGGGTGCGCGGCGGCTGGTCCCTCTCCGCCTTCCGTGGGGAACGCACGGCTTCTCCCGCCGGCCCCGCTTGCTCTTCCCCACCATTCGCACACTAGTTCCTGCCCGTACAGGCCGCAGCAGGTTTGTTTTCCCAGCGTGGCTCAATTTTTGCTTAGCTTAGAGTGCCTTTCTATACCCAAGTTCTTAACTTTATTTTCTTGTATTTTACTCTCAAATTTTTAATTTTGCCTTTTACCTTTATATGACTTATACTACTGGAATCCGTTCTCTGCAAGGCGGGTGAGACGTGGCTGCGTAGGATGGGGAACTGGGGTCCGGTTTCGTTTTCCCAGCACAGGAGTCCACGGTCCGCTCCCCTGACCTCATCAGCACCTGCCCTGCAGCAGGTGCGACAGGTGTGGCTGCCCTGGCCCTGCCCCTGGCTGCCTGAGTCTGCCCCGCACAGGAGTCCACGGACAGCCGGGTAACAACACCCGCCTTCTCTTCAGAGTAATTTCAGCTGTTCTGACCCTTTCTTTTCTATAGAATTTTAGTCTAAGCTTGTTGAGTATTAGGAAAAACACCATGAAGATTTTGGTTAAGACTGTAGATTATTTTGGGAAAATTTGGCAGTGTTTTAAGCAGCTGAGAACCACCCGTTGCTGTGCTCAAGACTCGGGTTACTGGAAAGTCATCGTGGCGGCCCGTGCTAAGCCACAGTGCCCAGCACAGACAGCGAGGACACAGCAGCTGGGCTCCTCTGAGGGCCAAGAGGGCTCAGCGCCGTCACCGACGGGTGCAGACACCCACCCGCGGCCGCCACGCATGCTGAGGCTTCTCGAAGCACAAGACGCCCCAGGGCCAGCCTCACGGGTCACAAGCATGGCTTCTACCACACTCTGATGGGCCAACAGCCACAGGTGCCAGAGTCCAGGGAGAGGGACAGGACACCCCGCATGGGCAGGGGCCATGGCCACACTGTAGGAGACACAGAGCACGAGCTCTACTGCCCTGGACTCCCAGGAAATACCAGCCTCCACAGTGGTCTTCAACGACGTTTCAAAAGTCTTATACATCACTTCTTTTTCATCTGTATTGTATGTTTACAGAATAATAATAAAATAGTAACATCTTTTGCTGTATTTATGAGGGTACTTCAAAAAGTGTGCATGAAGCGGCATTAAAGTATAAAAATAAAAAAGGTAAACTTTATTTCTCAACGTAAGCTCCATCGAGCTCAAGACTTCCGCAAGTGAGGACACGGCCGCTTGGCCCGTCCCTAAGAGCCGGGGGCCCTGGGCACGGAGCCAGGTCCTTGCCGTTCTTTCATCATCCACTGAAGAAAGGGCGCCCCTGAAAGACTGTTCAATGTTGGGAAACAGAAAGAGGTCAGCAGGAGCCCGGTCAGGACGGAGGGCGGACGCCCGTGAGCCGAGGGGAGCGAGAGGAGGTGCCGTGGTGGAGACGGCCTCTGGGGAAGCTTCCGGGTGTTTCCTGCTGCGGCCATGGCCGACTTTCTCTGCTCACGCTCACAGCAGATCTGCTGGCTCCAGAAAGTCAACAAGGAGGTGCCCCGAGCGCCCCTGCGCCAGGACCTTTGCTCTCCACGGCGGCTTCTGCTCTGAATGGCACATCCACCACGTGGCGGCCACTGCTGTGACCCTGCTGTGTCGTCAGGGTCACTCTGGTGGCGCCGAGCTCCGTCTCCCGCGATGGTTCTTTGAGAAATGCTTCGGGACCTCGCTCCCACGCGTTCAAAACCTCCCTGAACGCTCTGCGCTCATCTGCGCTGACCTGGGCACAGCGGCTCTGACGCCAGCCGTGGAAAGTCTGCTCAGCTTTGCTTCTTCCGTCGGAGCCACAAAGGCTGAACCAGCCGAGATGCCGCGGCTCTGCCGTTAACGTCAGGACTCTACGCTTACAGAAGAGCAAGACAAATTTGCTTCCTCGCTACGGATGTGGTGGTCTGCGCTGTGGGCTTCATCTCCGACACTGTCTCGCCCCTTCCTAAAACGAGGTGTCCATTTGCAAACTGATGATTCTTCGGAGCACTGTCCCCACAGACTTCCCGTAAAGCGTCAGCGACGTCCCCGTCTCCCACCCCAGCGTCTCCGCGACGTGATGCTCGTTCTCGCTCCAACGTTAGCAGCACTCGCCTGGCTCTGATGGGGCTCATTTCAAACTGACGCCTCGTCCTTCTCAGCACCTCACACCAGATCCTGTTCACACACGTCACATCGCATTAGGGAGACTTTATTTTGGTGCAAAAGAATTTGAAATCCATGGGTAGTTTTTCACAACATGCATTTCCCGTGAACTTTACCCCTAGTAGGCCTGGGGTTTCTGTCCTCACCTCCAGGGAGGCTTTGAAGACTCAGGCAGGAGGCCCAAACCCCTAGAAGTTCTCCCCACATTCCCTATAGCCGAAACATGAGCTTCGATGCACTCTGAAGACATACCATGGAGAGCACACACCCACGCAGCCACACGTCACAAGGCCCCGGGGCCATCTGCTGTTCATTCTAACGTGGGACCAGGAACGAGCAGTGACGGGAGGAGATCCCAGCTTGGCCACTCCACGACACACACGCAACAAACCGAACCAAGGTCGCACAGCTGGGGCTCTTGTCTGACGAAACGTGTCTTCTGAACTTTCAGTTACAACGGCAGCTACAGTTCCCTGCTCTTCCAGGTGAGCGCATCGTGCCAGAGAGGTGGGGAGCTCCGTGTACTCTCCTGGTGGCTGGGCACAGCCCAGGCCAGGCTGACCCCCTTTGGAGCACACACCCCTGGGGCCAGGCTGCCTGCCAACACCACCAGGGGCTATGCACAAGCCACCTCCGCTCTGTCCAGAGAGCGTTTCAGGACACCTGGCGGCAGGCCTGTGGCTGCCAGCCTCAGGTCAGGGTGGGAGGTCCTGTGCTGGGGGCAGCCAGGGCAGAGTCCTGGCCCGAAGGGGGTTGGAGCTCTGGGTTTCTCTCCTGCCTGGACACCTGCCCCCTTCTGCCTCTTCCTGAGAGCGCCCCAGCCACGGCGAGTGCAGCCTCCGGACACGGTGGTGCGGGCCAGGACGCCCCGGGCCATGACCACGGTTGGCCCGCTGCGGGGTCAGGGTCTGAAGTGCGTGGTCACACCTGGGTCTTGGTCGGGGCCTGGGTCTGGTGCAGGCGCGGGGCTGGGACACGCTGCGTCAGCTGCAGACTCAAGGGCCACCTGACCTCCGGGGAGGCTGACGTTTCCTGCCAGCCTCAGCCAGAGAGAGCGGGCTCAGCAGGGTGGGGGCCACTGCTGGACTCCAGCCACATGGCCGACCCACCCTTGCCGGGTCCACAGCAGGAGGACCACAAGCCCAGACATGGCCTGCACAGGGCTGGGCAGGCAGAATCCAGAAAGTGGGGTGCAGCCGGAGGTACCTGTGATCGTCCCGCGTCCTGGACGGAAGTGGCACCCGCCAGTCCGCCGCAGGAACAGTTCTGCGTCTTCCCACAGGACGTCATGCACCATCTTGGGAGAACTTGGCAGTGAAGAGCAGCCCGTGTCCCTCGGCAGCAGGGGCGCCCAGCAGCAGGGGCAACGCCTCCCGCGTGCTCCTCAAACTCACGCAGGTGCAGAGGGGACTGGGCGAGGGGCGCTGAGGACCCCCCCTGGCAGCGCCAGGCCCACCGAGCTGCAGCCTCCAGGACCGGCCGCCAGTTGGCAGCAGCTCCAGGCACGTCGGCATCAGTGTCTCTTCCCGGGAATTTGTGGGAAAGGAGACACGGCCGCAGTTGAGACCTTGCACGCCATTTCCTTCAACGCAGCGTCCCGGGACGCACACAGGAACCAGCTGCAGTCCCGATGTGCTGCTTCCTCCTCCAGAACCTCAGTCCACTTTCCCGGGGAGAGGCTGCCAGCCACGTCTGGAGGTCTGTGAACTGCTAGAAACGTTTCTCCTCCTCTTTGCTGCCTGGTGGCTGAGTGTGGCACAACCAGGAAGCTTCCAGAAGTAAGGCTCAGGGAAGGCGTTGGGGACAGCAGTGCCTGGGGCAGACGGGGGCTCCTGGGACCTGAGCCGAAGGCAGAACAGGAAAGAAGGGTCTTCGACGGCTGCAGCTCCGCACGGCAGGTAGGAACCCGGGTGAAGGGCCGGCCTGCGGCTCCCGGCGTCCACGCCCCCTCCTCCAGGCAGGACACAGCTGCAGGGCGCGCATGTTGCGACAGTGTACGTGGCCCCTTCCTCCCAAGGGACAGGGACGTCGCCCCCACAGACAACTTAAGTTCCAAGCCAACCTCCCTGCCACAGATGCTGCCGGGGAGGCTGGTCCTGCCTGTCGTCCACCGCAGCAGGCCGGCGCCCCGGACCACGCCTGTGGCCTCAGGCGCACACTGACAGGGACCGCCCCTCCGCACCGGGGCTACTCCCTGGCCGGACAGCCCAGACCCTCGCCCCCTCGGGCAGCAGCAGCCGTCACTCCACGGCTTGCCATCCCACCCAGGACTAGAGGCACACGGCCCCACGCTACCACACGTCTGGGCCGCACCTTCTCTCTTTGGAAGAGAAGGTGAGTCTGGAAGGGGGACGGGGGACTCTCGCCAGCACCCCACTGCCCTCCGGACGCAGAACCAGGACTTACTTGACAAACTTGTCCACGTGGGACATGGAGGCCTCGTAGTTCTTCCCTCCGAACTCCTGACAGTGCAAGGCCATGAAGTGCGGCTTGTGCGCGTGCACGACCTGCAGGAGAGGAGGACACGGTCAGCATCGCGGGCCACACGCGGCACCCTCGCCCACACAGCCCACGGCCCAGGCGCCCACGGGGGCAGGAGGGGAGGAAGGCCCACACCCATGACCACGGGCTCCTTTCAACAGACCCCGGGAATCGTGTCACCCTGGTGCTTCCAGTGTCTTCCATTTTCCCATTTGTATAAATTCCTAAGACTCAGAATTTCTTAGAACGTTCTTCAATCACCTAGAGGTGTTTTTTCCCAATTGTGAAAAGATAATACACATTGGCTGCAAAGCATCTGGAAGCCTCCAAAACCCAAGTCAGTCAGTCATAACCCCACGAGTAGAGAGCCACTGC